TTAATTCTTAATCTTTAAGTACCAAAAAAGTAAAAAAAATATAAAGATTATAACTCAACCCATACCATATTACGCAATAAAGGCATTACAAAATTTAATCATAAGAGTGTGCAAAACACTTGACTAATCATATGATAATAAAGCAATCTAATGATTATATAGATATTATAGTTAAACTCTATTTTTGAATTGGGAGTGAAGTCACAAATTAGTAGAATTCATAAAAACCAAAAGATGAAAAAGTAATTATTAAGATAATTTATTGCTAAAATCACTTCAAGACAACATAGAGCACATCAATTGTTCCGAACCTTTAGTGAGAAGAATATAAAATAACAATAAAACACACATGGACTATGTTTGAAAGGATAAACTTCTACATAAGTGAGTCTTAAAGGGAGGCAAGAACCCTTGCAAAAAAACCTACAAAGGTAAAACAAAATCATGAAAAATAAAAAGAGAGAAATAAAGAATAAAGAGAGAAAAAGAAAGAATGAGAACCAAGAGGGAGGAGAAGAGCGGCGGCTAGAATTCTGCTCCCTTTTTTTTGGAGAGACCTCAAACAATTTTGCTCCCCTCTTCTTTTTAGGAGGGCTCAAACAATTCAAAGTTTGAATGGTGATCAATTTGCATGGATGTTTTAAGATAAAGGAGAATTATAAAAAGCATGAGTTGGTTGCCTCGGTTTAACTAATTTTTTGAGTAAAAATAAATTTATTTAATAATAATAAAAATTGTAAGAATTTTAAGTTAATTCATATAGTGTGATGTATCAGAAGTACTGCAAAAACCTAATTTTAAAAGTATAAAAGACTTGGTTATACATATAATAATAAAGCAATCTAATAGTTATATAAATATTATAGTCAAACTCAGTTTTTAATTTGATTGTGAAGTCTCAATTTAACATAATATACCAAGACAAAAATATACAAAAGTAAGTACTGAGATAGTTCATGAACTTCATGTAAGTTAGCCTTAAGGGGAGGCAAGACTACTCCCTTGAAAAAACCTAAAAATATAAAACAAAGAATCAAAAAGGGAAAGAGGAAGAAAGGATGAGAACAAGAGGGAGGAGGGAAGCGGCTAGGGTTCTGCTTCTCTTTTTTTTTTCTTTTTGCTCTGTCATATGATGCTTCGGTTCGGTTAATTGAATCAAAATATTTTAGCTAATTGACAAATTTTGGCTAACGATTTTCGTTCCAAAACCAAACTAAATATTAGTTTGAGAATTCGATTTAATTAATTAAAAATTTTGGTTAATTTAACTTGGTTGGTTGAATTAACCATTCTAAAAAGATAGGAAAATACTTGCATGACACCACTTAACTTGTAAAGTGAAACTATTTAATTTCCTTGAACCAAAACAAACGACCTAAAGAGTAATCATTTTCTTTAATTTGCTTCACCCCTCCTTCTAGGTGATGGTGGTGTTAGAATTTTAAGGATCCACATAAGTAAAATTTAGGATACCAAAATCTAATGAAATAAATAAATTACGTACCTGATTTCCATAATCAATATATTACTTAAGAATCTTTAAGGATCTTCAAGAATCATAATAATTAAGGATCTTCAAGACTCATAATAATTAAGGATCTTATGACAAAACCTACAAAAACAAATATAGTTAGTATTTGGGATTTAGGTCTTCCTGAGATTTAGGTCTTACTGGGATTTAGGTCTTTTTCTCTCTAATCAACTTTTATATAATGACAACTGATGGATCATGTCACTTTCTAACTCTATTATTTATAGAGATAGGGTTTTCTAAATTTGAGAGAACTTAACCCATTATAATAGTATTTTGGGCATCCCATCAAGTTGTTTACCTTTAATTTCAGGTCTTATACATATTCATATTATACTATATAAAACTGAGATAAAACTTATGCAATGTGGATCACATCATTTTATTGGATTTTATCAATTTTTTTATTTGACTCAATTTTAAAAACCAAATACAATTAGTAACGATCCACATAAAAATCAAAAAGTACAACAAGCCAATGAATTGAATTAAAGAATGAAAGATAATTTTTTTTTATTACGTAATTTATGATTTAAAAAAAAAAAAAACCTTTATTGACTATTAATTACCACGTCGGAGTTAACTAGAATGTTTGTAGGCGAGACAAGCTGTCAGAAAGTCAAAAAAAAAACCCAATACGTATCTTACTTTGAAATAAGTTTTCGGACTTAAAATGGCCTCAGAAAATCAAATGGAAGATGATTAAATTGCAGTGCGACAGATTTTGGGTTTTGACTTGACTTAAATAGTCAGGAGTTTATCTTCATGATTTTCTTACACGGAGACTTTCTATGTAGAAAATGCACTAGTGTCCTAAACTGCCCGACGGCCGCGACCGGAGTAGGTAATAATCTCGTCCCTTGTTTTCCGTCGAAAGTCAATTGTCAAAGAAAATGAACTGCCCGGCGGCCGCGACCCCACTAATAATCTCACTCTAATCGCATCTCGTTAATAAGATTCGTTGTTACCAATAAATAAATTTCTTTTAAAGAAAATTTGTTGTGCTCATACGTGACGCGTGCATTGTCTACATAGAAAAGATAGGTTTTTTTTTTTTTTATAATTTATTGTCAAGTGTTTTAAGATTAACATTTATGCATGATTAATTTTAAGAATGCATTCTTACATTGATTTATAAAATTTAAAAGATTAACTTTGTTAGTATTGATTCTCATTATTTAAATTTTAAACTTAATATATAAGATGGTATTTATTTATCAATTAACTTAATTTTTATTGTATATAAAATAAAAAATAAAATAAATATATACCTAAAGATTTATAAATTTAATATTATAGGTTTTTTTTTAATTCAAAATAACTATGAAATATATGTGTCGGGTCTTATTGAAACTCTACCACTCAATCTCCAACAAAATAATATAAAACTTCTATGGGACTAGCAATTGATCATTGTCATTGATGTGATATTTAACAAATTGATTGTCTCAAATTTTGGGTAAGAGGTATATTTTTCACCTTTGATGACCCAATGGCAAAAACGCTTCTTTTTTGGTCAATTCTATGTTTGAGATTAGTAGACGTTTCTATGTTTGATATAACTTACTAATTCCCATGTGACCGTTCAAATTGAATCCAAAGATCAAGACTAACAGAAAGATTAATTGTAGAGGTTAAGGGTAAAAGGTAACAAAATAAAAGTTAGAGACTAAAAATGTTCTTTTTTAGGTTCAAGGGCGGCTTTCTACCAAAATAAAGTTCGACGGCGGCTGCCTCGGCTCCCACCTGTGCATACCAATTCATTGATCTTGTTGAGTGAAAAATAATAAAAATCCGTTATATTGCGAAGATTTATTATAAATATATGTTGTCAACATACTAATGGTAATCACCTTCTAATTAAATAGTTGTGAGAAATTATAAATTTGAATTATAAATATACACACAAAATATATTTTATAGAGAATATTATAT